CCACCTTTTTTTTTCGATTGTTTCTTCATACTATTATCATTGAACCCCAAATTTATACCACAGATACATCTTTAATTGCTTAACATACCCAAAAAATTTCAGCCTTATAGAATGAGAATATGTTGAGAAAAGTAAAAAAAAAAATGTCTCAGGTACTCATGTATCCATGTAAGGATAATTTGCTGTTTTCTTGATAAATTTTTGTTCTTTTCCCTTTTGAGTAACATTAACTTTTGACGCATAAATTAGGTTGCCACCGTTTTGTTTGCACTCTTACGGACGTTTTGGAGAGATTCTTTCGTAAAACACTTAGAAGAAACTTGTGGAAATGAATTCATTCATCGAAGGTTAATGTTATTGAAAACAGAAGAAAAAAACGAAATTTAGCAAGAAAATAGCAAATTATCTTTAATATTCGTATCCTTTGATATTAATAATTTTGATCGGATGTATGAATTTATCTTGAACATACTATTACAATCAGATAAATATAGAATTATTGTGACAAAAATGAATAAACTAAGCTACAATCGATTAGTTTTATACTTGAACGAATATTTTTCTGAATTCGATTCAATTAAGGAAAAAAATTAATTAATAGTGGTGAAAATCAATTTGAAAAGAGTTCAATATTCTATCCGTGTGAACCTTCGTATATTGTTTCATTCACGAAAAACAAACATCATAACATTTTAGTTTGACTACAAGAATATCAGTCATTATCATGCACATCAGTTGATAAATTTACAACTTGTTTATATGTTGCTCGATTGTTTAAAATACTCATAACATACAAGTGTATAACAAGTTTTAAAATTTATGTCTGTAAAAACTCTCTCTTAGTTATTATGCTATATCTAATGCAAGAAAATTTCAAAATCTAGAAAAAGGATATGGGCAACAGGAAAAAAAGCGAGAAAAACTCATAGCTCGATGATTTCAATTTTTTAATATACATACATAATTACCCTTGAGTCAATTATTCTTTTTCAATTGTTTAAATAATCTAGATGATATATAATTACTGATGAAAATGCAATATAATATAATTATATGGGTAGAAACTTTTCACTCTTAGTTCATGCGGCTATCATCAGCTTTTTATAACACATCATTGATGACCTTGGCCTAACTATTGATTTTAGAAACAAATTACAAGAATAAATGAGTCGATAGATAATAATTTTCTCTTAATGGTTGATAGAAATGTTTGATTATTAATTTGGCAAAATAGGATTCTTCCTTCACTATATAGTTGTACTGTTATACATTGTTAGCTGATATTGAATATGAAGAACTGTTTTCAAAATATTGACTTTGAACATATATTGAAATTCTAGTGACAATTTCAAATTGTTAATTATAAATAGTCAATGTAGAGGTACTTTTTTTCTACAACATAATTATTTTTCGCTCAAAATTGATTTATTACAAATATTTTAAAATGAAAAGTTATGGATGCAAAATGTCTAGAACAACTAAAACAAAGGGAAATGATTATAAAAATTTCAAATTTTTCATTTAACAGTTATGCATGCAGATAAAGCCTTATATAATTATTTGTTGAATATAATTCATTCGATTCTCTTAAATAAAAAGTTCAATATTACGATTTGAATTTCAATCTCTTTTGTATTAACGTGAACTTTTGATAGAACAATTTTTAAAAACAATTCATATTGTTCTTTGTCTTACTATGTTGATTTTTCTGTATTTGAAAGCATTTTGATTTAAAATCAAATGAGTGTCAATAGAAATTTAATGAAATAAAATGATAAAGTTATATTTGAAAATGATTGATTTTGTCTATTTTACTGATGTATTGTAAATAATAAATTATTATTTATTTTTTCACGTTGTAATACATGTTTCTTCGATATTTAATAATGCAAATCGAATTTAATAAGCAAAGAAAAAAACTCAAGATGGACACATTGAAAAAATAGATAAAAGTTTTACTAGATGGAAAAAAAATTTGTGTACGAAAACAATGAATTTCTTGTTTGGTTGTATCTAGTTCATATTCTTATCTTAATTCATGTATAATAACCACTAAAATCAAGTGATGTAGATTTTGTTTGTATGATTACCATATTTGGATCTGGTAATTGACGAATTCGTCGATAAGATTCTTTTGGATTATTATTACCACCAAGTTGATATCGATCACGAATAAGAAATTTTTGTGTATTATCTAAACCAGTAAATTTTTGAGAATTTTTATTTGCTTTCGATCGATTATTAAGATGATTATTGTGAATATTTTGAATATTTTCTTGTTGTTGATTTTCATTATTAATTTTCTTTAATGCATGTTCACAAGATAAATGATGAGCACGTAGAACATGACCATTATCAAATGATTTTAAACATGTTGGAAAACCAATACATGGATAACGCATGATTTATAAAGATTTTTTTTGATTTTTTTTTAAATATTCTCAGTTTGTATGCGTTGCCAGACACTTTTGATTTTGAAGAAGTATGAGAAAAGAAGAAAAAAAAAACATTAACTCCTTCAAGAACACGGTTAAAAAGCTTTTTTTGCTTATTGAAGAACGAAAGACAACGTATTTTATTATTAAATATGTAATTTATAAAAAAAATCAGGGGCATGCACATTGACCGACAGAAAAAATACGAAAAGATTGTACTGTAAAGAATAATAAACATGAAGATAACCTTTTTGTCAACACGTCGCGATAATAGAAGAGAATAAATGCATTACATTTATCTTTTTCTCTTTCTTTCGCTATTTTACTACGATGAGGTCGGCCATAGTTGTTACTTTAGAATATGCACAAGCATTTTTGTTTCTTGTTTATTATTGGATTAAAGCATTACTACGTACTTTATTTGTGCAAAATGTGCCAAAAAGTGTTCGAGGTGAAATTATTCTTGTAACTGGAGCCGGTTTGTTAAACTAAAAATTTTTTTTTGTTTTATGATTTTTATTTTTCTTTATTTTTAAAGGCTCTGGACTTGGTCGAGGTACAGCTAAACGACTTGCATCACTTGGTGCAACAGTAGTTCTATGGGATGTTAATGAAAGAGGAAATGAAGAAACAAAACAACAAATACTTAATGAGTGGCCTGATGCGAAAGTTTACTCAATGAAAGTTGATTTATGTAATCGAGAAGATATTTATCGAGTTGCTCAACAAGTCAGAATAAAATTTCTTTTTTTTTTGTTTTTTTTTTTTATTTCTTATCATTTGTTTATATGTTTATTAGGTCAGAGATCAAGTTGGAGATGTAACAATAGTAATTAATAATGCTGGTGTAGTGAGTGGAAAACCATTGTTGGATCTTGATGATGCATCGATTCAACGTACATTTGATGTTAATATTATTGCTCATTTTTGGGTAAGTTTTTATCTATGAAATACAGTTTTAGAAGTTCGAAGTCTTGACGACATTCAGTTTCAATATAGAAAAAGAATTATCTTAAATGATATCATTTCAAAGAAAACTGTAGATATCTATTAAACAAAAATATTAAAAAAACTCATACGTCTAATGTTCATCTAAGATATCTTGTAGGTCATTATTTTCTACCATTCTTGCATGGGAATGTCGCCAAATGACAAGTTCACTCGTTGTACAAACAAAGTTTTTAATGAGATAGTTTCATTGAAAAATATCAAATTCCTATAATATCTATGAGTATCAAATAGAAATATTTAAAAGTTTGTTGTTCTGAAAAAATTTACACACTAATTGGAATAACCATAGCTGAATAAGAAAGTTTCATGAGTATGAATAGTGGTGTAGATAGGTAAGTGCTAGAGAAGACTCAGCTTCTTGAAAGGCTTTGAGTCATTCTTGTCTCCTACTAGTGGTTGACTTTCGCTTAAACAAGAACTTAAGACTCTTGCAGAGCTATTACCAGAGAGCCTTCAACATCCTTCTACAGACAAGATTCGAAGACTGAAAAAGCCTACAACTTTTTTCTTATTATATCGTCAAGTACGACTTATTTTATGTTTTCTCTCGTCCCACCAGAGACTACCTAATGAATTAAGACTAGAGAGGTACAAGACTAAGTTTTTTTGACTTCAATCTAGAGAAACCTATACTCTTTTAGATTATCTTTCTTGAATGATATTCTGGTTTGTATAATTTATCCTGTATAATTCACTTAAAATCATAAAATATTTTATTATAAACTTGAATTCGATTCCAAGGGGTTTTTTTCCGTCATCATAGTGTCGATAAACGTTTACTCTTTGGTTCTAAGTATCTCTAGTTAAGATTCATCACAAAATTAAATTATTATTTGGCGAGTTTCTTTCATCAATCTGCATATGAACAATGGTTTTTTTTTCTTGTTAAGATTTATAATTTATGGAATACTTTTCACTTAGGTTCTTAAATCATTTCTGGGTCCAATGTTAGCTTCAAATCGTGGTCATATTGTTACCATTGCTTCTGGTGCTGGTATATTCGGTAAGTTTATTCGATATAATTTTTTTCTCTTATGAAATAATATTTAAAGGTGTCGGTAAATTAACTGATTATTGTTCATCAAAATATGCTGCTATTGGTTTACATGATTCATTAACAGCAGAATTAAAACAACAGAAAAAAGATGGAGTTCATACAACAGTTATTTGTCCAGTATTTATTAACACAGGAATGTTTCATGGTGTTAGGGCATCGTAAGAAAATTTCTTTTTTTTTTCTTTCAAAATAAACTATGTGAATACTTTTCTTTTTATAATTAGGGCTGCTAGTGTTGAAGTACTTGATGAAAATTATGTTTGTGATTCTATTGTTGATGCTATACGAAAAAATAAACGTCTTGTTATGTTACCACCACATACAACTTTATTTTATATTCTTAAAGGGTAGAGAATAAATGTTTTTTAGTTTTGTTTTGTTTTTATAAGTATTTTGATATATTTTAGATTATTGCCTGATGAATGTCTTGATAGATTTATGAATTTTTTTGGTTTATCAACTGCAATGGATACATTTGTTGGTCGAAAATAAGAAAACTAAAAATGATCAACTAGAATTGAGACATTTGAATTTGTTACATGATTAATTCCATTCATTATCAATGATTTATTATGCTGTTGATAATTTATTTTGCTATCTAATAAATAAAAGAATAGGTTTCTTTTTTTTTTTCAAATAAATTTTAAGCAAAATATTTATACCTTGATTAGCACCATGTAGAAGAAGAGATAATTGTTGAGCATCATTTCCAGCTGAATGTGGTATAATTAATTCTACTGGTTTTTGAAATTGAATTCCATGTGGACCACATATAACAATAGGACTTAATAATTTACCATGAAATTTTTCATTATTTGAATCATCTTGATGAACTTGAAAATAAATTTCTTGTTGAACACCTTCAGGTATTGCACCCATAGGTATAAATAATGATACACCTAGAAAAATTAGACTTGTTTTTAATCAAAAGACAACTAAAATGAAATAAAACCTGTTAAAGGACAAGAAAGTTTTCCACCGTAATAATCTATAACACCACGTGCACTACCGATAACATTAGATCCATCTTGTATTGAATATGATCTTTAATAGGAAGCATATTTTTAAATCAAATAAGAAAATTTTTTATGTACCTGGTTTCACCAACTTCTTTAATAGTTTTATCTTTGAAACTCAATGTTGATGATCCAGATGAAGACGAATGTATGGTTTGTGGTTGATTAAGTAAAATTCGATTATCAGGAGTGTAAACACGTGGTTTTTGTAATGAAGATGTAGAGAAATATGGAGACTTTGAATCATCTGATGAAAATGTACTACTATTTAATTTATGGCGATGTTTTTTACTTGAACACATTTTTTGTTTTAATAATGCTTCAGTAGCAAATTTTTCATCGGAATTAATCGATGGTATTTGTTTAATATGACATCCATTTTCTACAGATATATTATGTATGGAATCAACTTTATTCAACTGATTATTTGATAAGATTTTTGGACAAGGTGTTGTCGATCTAAATCAAGAAAAAAGAAAGCTCTTAGTGGAATACTTGTAAGATGAAACATGATGTAGTTACTATCACTAATCATAGAGGAATTGTATTATTCAACCTATTTGGGTTGTTCATACATGATCTTTAATCATATATCAACAATGTCTGTAAAGTCTCTAATATGCCATGGCTAGGATATATGTTATGTCTATGACAGTCTGTCATGCTCGGCGTCCTGATAGAATTTTCTTCATGCTTATGAAATACTCGAGTAACTTGAGCAAGAAAGTCATATCATATTGTACATCTTGAGACCTTTTGACAAACTCAAATACTTGAACTTGTTGCTTCATCGCTTAACATTTTTATTCGTGCGCTTGAATTCCTGTTCAAATGAATGTAAGAGTAATCTTAAAAACGGGATGTGAATGTGGGCTCTAGTCTTCTCTTCATGCACATCCATAATCTAGTATTGTTTTCTTAAGTTTTGCATTTAAAATAGTTCGACTCATAATAAAGATTAACATATTAAGTAACGAAACCCTATAGCAAATAGACCAAAAAGGAGACCTACATGTGCCGTAGATTCCGTCTATCTCAATGGCAAGGAGTATTCTTTCATCTTGAGAAGAAAGACATTGATTATTCTATTCAAATTGATTGTTTCAAGTGTACTCATTCGTATGATTTATATGAGTTCAACATACGAGCTGCTGTGAGTTTGCACATAATTCATGCAAATATTGAAGTGCTCATCTATGTAACGTAAGTCATGTGATATAGACACATCTGGAAATCTGTACATATTAAACACATGATAAAAGAAGTTTAACTTCAAAAAAAATTACTTTGTTTGAATCGTTTCAAGATACGATTCTTCTTTCAGAAATCAAAATAATGAAATATAGAATTACTTAAAGTGTATTAATTTTTTTTATTTCTACTCAATACTATGGATATTTCAAAGACTTAGTACAAGGCATATATATGTCGCTCATATTAAATCATAGAGACAAACTAGTTAGATCAATGATAAGTAATACACATCAGTTCATTCGAACTGTTCTGAAACGAGAAACGACTATATGTGTTTTTTTTTGCTGAAAAGATTAAATTACCTATTCCATGTAGCGTATAAATTAACTGTTGAATTTTTATCAGTCATTGTTGATTTATCATTTGAATTTTTTCTAGTGGATTCATCATTATTATTTAAATTAATTCGTTCATTAAAATTTATAGTTGAATATTTTGATGGAATAAATGATTGTCTTGATGAAATTTGATTTGAAGATAATTGACTAAAGAAAAAGAAAAACAAAATATCAAAATACATTATAACAATATTATAGAAAAATCTTACTTTGCTTTAAAAGAATTTGTAGAAATAAATTTTATTTCATTTTCAATATAATTTTTTTCATATTGATTGAACGATGTATTCAGATTCTAAAAAAAAAAAAAATTCTTAAATTACTTCGAAAATTAATTTGAAGAAATCGATTTACAATATTAAATTTATCTGTTGAAAATAAATGATCATTATTATTTGTTTTTGAATTTATGAATGATCGTGGATTAAGAAATGAACCATTTGAATATAATATATCAGATTGATATGGATGTTGTTCATTATCTGTTGTAGGCATATCAATAAGTGTATGGCTATTATTTGGTAATGATATTGTAGAAGTTTGCATAAATATACTATCATCTTCTTCATCATCATTACTGAGATGATGAGGTAAATCATTTGAATATGTTTTAGAAAATTTCTCTTGTTGAAACATAATAGGATCTGATGCAACTCTTTGTAAACAATTTTTTTCTTTTTTATTTATTATATTTAAATCTAAAGTTGATTGATCTTGAAATGAAACATCATCTGAATAACTTAATCTTGTTGAAATAAAATATTCATCTGATTTTAATAAATCTTTTTCAATAAATCGTTCATTACTCATCCATATAGATTCTTCTTGTTGAAATTCAATTTGAGATTTTAATTTTTCATACCAATTTATTGATGAATCTAGATTAATAATTGATGTAAATAAATAAGAATAAAAATATTCAAGACGTTCAGCATTTTCAAATAAACGTCGAGACGATTTTTGATAAAGTTTTCCATGTTCATTACGAATTTGTTTAATTATACGACGATTAGAAACTTTGAAATAAATAACAATTGGATAACATTCAGCATAATTTAATTGTTCAATAGCTGATGGAGTTATGTCTAATAGACAATGACGATTCTAAGAAGATTCAATTAATTATTATTTTTATCATCAAAAAAAAAAAAAAGATATTCTTTCGAATAAATATTAAGCAAACAAATTTATTTTCAACAAACTATTAATAAATAAAATACTAATCGAAAGTTCATTTCTGTATTACAAGATAGAAAATATGTTCTCAAATGTACCACTGAAAATATATGTTTATAAAATAATGTACACAGAACATTAGTAGAATATATCCTTAGACAACGTCAAAAATAAACTAGATCTGCTTCAATTTCATTGAAATAGAAATCCCAGCATCTAATGTCCGACTGAATCGGTTGTTCTGAAATGATTGAAAGAAATTTTATTGATATGTCATTTTTTTCTGAACAAAATATGTTGAGAGCAAGTTTCAGTACTCTTATCAAAAATAATCAAATACTTGTATTTTGAAAAATACTAAATTGGTCTACATTGTTTTATTTCATTAATCGAATTATATTTCATTTTGGAACAATGCACGTTTAAAACTGTTAGTGAAGCTAAACTTATTAACTAATTTCATTAATGTTTTCTTAGAGATCGTATTTAGGTTTGAACCATCTTTGGAAGAAAAATATTGAATTTCTCTACAAAATTCGAATGAAAAATTCAAAATTTGGGGTTTAGCAATTAACCATCAGTTAAATAGGCTCTATGGTTCGTTCTATACAGGTAACCATTACATGTTCATCTTTAAGGTAACTTAACAGGCATAAATAACAATAACTATTAACATATTGAAGATGATTCAACAAATCGGTCGGATCAGATCGATTACAAATATGCTTTCCGATGTTCTGAAAACTACAAATCCAAACATTTTTTTCTTTCTCAAGCTTGTTGATTCTTTTTGTTTGAAAGAGCATATTAAAACTACAGTGTTGGACATAGTCAGTATTGTTAATTAAGCATCGGTATTATTATCTAAAAAATGAACTTCTATAAACCAATAACCATTTTTTAAGAGTTTTTGGAGATACCGAATTTGTGATCCGTTTCCTTTGTATCAGCAATAAGAATTAATAAAATCAGCTCTGCCAGAAATATATAAAGTGAGAGTCCACAAAGAATTTCGAATAGCCTGATGAGTTGTTTTTAACCGTCGTTTAATGAAAATCACTTGAAAATGTCATGTGATCTGAATGTACTAGTTCCAAGATCGATTTTTGACAAGAGAGATGCTTTATACTTCGATTTGCTATAAAGTTGACTTTCTAATATTATATTAGAGTTCATATTCTAATCATAACAAAGTTGCAACAATCATTTGATATCTTGTTTATGTAATCATTTCTTTTAAATGATACTTACTTTTTGAATAACATTTTTAATACTTTGTAATTTAATAATATTAGCAAGTGCTTTCGTGGATGATTCCATATAAGTTTCTGAAGATAAATTGTATTATTAATGAATTGCAAGCTCTTGAACAAATACAATATTGTTCATTTGACTTACCAGGTAATTCAAATTTATCAGGATACTGTTCAAGTAACCGATCTCGTGCAATATCAGCTAAAGGACCCAAAAGAACTACTGGTCTAATAATTGTGACTAAAATATATTCATATACCAACCAAAAAAACAAAATATATCAAAAAATAATTTTACTTGGCTTAAGTCTAACTCGTTCATAAGTAGAAAATTTGGAATTGATCATGGCTAAAAAGTTAAAAATTAACATTGAATATATTATTTATCGTATAGTCTGATAATTCAAAAAAAAATGAACGACTTACGTTTCCAACAAGTAACTTTATCTATAAATGAATAGAATAATTTAGATTTAATGAAAAAAAAAAAAAAACTCATGAAATTATCAACATACTCAATATCGAGTCTTCTTTAAAATAATTTGATGATAAAACCGATCGTGATCGTTTATCACTAAATTTTGTTCGTAATTTTCTTTTCAATGATGATTGCTTTGATTTAATTAATTCTTCAAGATTCGGTACAACATCAACTAATTGTTCCGCTCTATTAAGAAAGTTTCAAATTATACAAACATAAACCTATTCAAAAATATTTACCGAGATTGATTAGGTATAGCTCCAGTTTGTTTATTTTCCGATGAAAATTTATTTAATTTAGTTGCAACCCAATAACCAACTTGACCATTATAAAGTGTATCTGTTACATGAAAAATATCGTTAATACGTATTGACAATTCTTCAACATTTGATGAATTATAAGCAAAATGAGTACTAAAAAAAAAAATTTCGATAAAAATGATTTTTTTTCTTTTGTTTGTTAAAATGATTCTTACCGAATATAAAATGAATCACCACCGATATCACTTAATAATTGTTCATATTCTATTTCAAAAAAAATAAAAATAAAAATACAGTTTTTACAATAGATAATAACAAACCATCTTGTAAATTTGAAACAATCATATTCACTTGAGATGTTTTCATATTCATTAAACATAAAACAGCTTCTTCACGTGTTAAACTAGTAAAATCAATATTATTCACCTAAAATGAGAAAAATCACTCATGTAATTATTGTTTAGGTCGCATCACAAAGGACGAACCCGTTCAGACGCAGCTTAGATAGAACATTTTTTTACGTCTATGCTCGACTTATGATAGAAACACATTTCAAATGAAATTTTAAAAAACAATCTCAATCGATCTCCGACATGTCATTAATACATGGTTAGGATGATCCTTGGCAAACGTATCGAATTATTATTATTAAACAACTGAAATTAGATTTAAATAAGTGAATCAATGTTTAGAAGTCATGTATATACACTATTGATCTACAAACAAGCTCGAAATGATTTCTCGTCCAATAGAAAGTATGTTTGAAGACTAACTTAATCGTTTCAATTTATCATGAGCAACAACATTTACTTTCGAAAACTAGAACATTATCTATCAATTTTTTTTTCTGATAATCAGTGGTTATAAAGTAAAAAGACTATGTTATTATCTTGCATTGAACGTGGCGAATATCAGAAAGTAGTTTGTATGTTTTTGAATGAACGATCTTAACACGTCGGATGATTTGATAAATATATCTCTGTAATTGCTCAAAAATCAATTATATTCTGTTCAGGACTTGATTGAAATTTATTAGTAATTTAATGGGTACAGTGTCATCTCATCTTAATATGATTTCAAATACAAACGTGTTCAGACGAATTTATTTCTTTTTTTTTTCAAACCATACCCAATCGCTATTTCGATGTAGAATATGTCCGCACATTGTTGAAAAATAATCAAACCGCGGTTGTTTTGAGTCTGAAGTTTATATAGGTAATGAACAATATACTTTAAATTCATCGATTTAGAGAACCATGTATAAGGCTTTGAAAAACTTCTCAAACTCGTTTTATATAAAAAAAAATAAGAAATATTGCTGTATTAGTATTGATGTCTATGCATCATACACGTACTTTGCTATTCATAAAAAGCATTTACTTTGCTAAGTTTTATAAATGTATTAAAATAAAGAAATATATTTTCAATTATTTGAGATACACTGACAAATAATCAGAAAGTTCAAGTTTCACTTCACAAATAAAATTTCTTGTTTTGAAAGGTCATACTATATTAAACATGTATGACAATTTATGTCGAGTAACAGTCCGTCACTCAACACAACATCTGAATTGAATTGTCATTTTAAAAATGTTTTCAGACACGAATGATGAATATCACTGTCAATACTGTCATCATTAAAAATATGAAAAGCCAAATGATGAAAGACAGTTGAATCATAACTGAGTAAATAGCAGACATTAGTCGTATGTCAAATATACAGTGTATTATATTTGATATGACTGATTATATATGATTACAGTCTATCCTATATAGATCTCACATTAGTTAACATCGATTCAGCACTGTATCGGTCACCTGTAGAAAACATAATCAACATTTGATTATTCGCTTTCAAATAGATGAAATTAGAAAATCATAGGACACTATAGTCTTATCATTGTAAACTATCACTATATAATTTAATATATATTGAATGATAGTTAACCTTGCAAAAAATAAAATTTAGCTCGATTTTTTCATTGTTAATTAGTGCATATCCGATATTCTAATAACATCTTTTTATATTTCTACACATAATTATTTCTAACGTAACACAGCTGACGATACCTGTGAATAGAGGACAAAATGAACTATACTTAGACACCAATATTAATACAACAATATTTTTCACTGTTTTGACATAAAACCACCAATCGAAGAACCTTTTGAATACTCTACATAAAGTACTTGTTCATAATATAAATGAGCCCTATCGAATCTAAATCGAACTTCTTGTGAAACATGATTCAAAAGATTATGTCAAAGTATAGGAGTACAATTGTGGACCCCTTTCGACGATAGATCGTGACAGGTGTAGTTGATTGATTGAACTATTTCTTTATTGCATTTTTAAAGGATTAAATGAAAGGATGGTGAAGAAATGTGTCCCGAAATAGATAGAATAAAACCATCTTTCTTTGATTAGCAACATCAACTACATCGTGTTTTACATTTCAATCTTATAAGAATTGTGCTAACTGTTTTTTTGTTCTTTAATTAATTCAATCAAAGAGCGTTGTTATAAGACTAATAAGTATTTTCATAGTCTTAGAATCAATACTTATCATTTGGAATGATGGATGAGTAATTATCTAATCTTATAGAATAGTCATAAATGTGATACAAAAAAAAGACTTACGCTAAAAATTTTATCAGCAATAAATAATCCTGCTTTATATGCAATACTATTTGATTGTATTTCACAAATAAATAAACCATATTTATTACCACCAGCTAATCGAATACCAATACTTGATGTATCTGTAAAAAATGATACATATCTTGTTCCATTACTAAATGAAAACAAAAAAAAAATAAAAAGTTAAATCTAAAAGTTTCTTTCATTACTATGGTCGAATAATATTATGATGATTATTTGTTAATTGTTCAAATATATGTTGATTATAATCTGAATGTAATTGTTTATATGAAGATGTTAATTCTTGATGATTATGTACTTTATTTGGTATAGTATAAAGAATAAGTCGTTCTTTTGTTTTATCAATTAATTTTTGTGCTTCTTGTAATGTTAAACGATCAACTGGTATTTCATTAATCTAGAAATATTTTTTTTTTCATTCAAATATTTTCTTTTTTTCATTCGATAATTTTTTATTTTACTTTAATAACTTCATCATCTTCTTGAATACTTGTAAATATTTCATTATTTTTAAAATGAATTTTTTTAATAAAATATCGACAATCAAGTGTAATACCAAATTTTTCATCTTTACGTGTTTTATTTAATATACATTTTATTGGTAATACATTATCCGATTGAATTATTGGATGTTTTTGTCGTTGAATAATCTATATTAAGTTAAACAAAAAATATATGAATTCAAAGACAAAAATAGAAAAAAAGAAAAGAATTAATCTACCAAATTAACAAAATCTGTTGATTCACGAATTAATTTTAATGCTATATATTCCATATAACGTACAACTGGATGACCATTGACATTTATAATACGATCATTAGGTCTAAATAAGTCTTGAAAAAATATTTCCATGTATTAATAAAAAAACTTACAAAAGTTTGCCATCAGCTGGTCCATTTTTAATTATATCCGTTATGATTAATGATTGATTATCAATGTCATCATTGCCACCATTTATTGCAATACCAAAACCATGTAATGGTGACTAGAAATAAAATGACTATTATTATTAAAAAAAAATGAAATCAATTCATTCATGTTATCAAATTGATCATCTACTTTTTTTTTTGTTAATAAAACTGATTTATAAAGATAATAAAAAAACTAAAAACTTTAACTTACTCTTGTTAACGTAACTTGAATACAATCAGTTGTATCTTCATCATCATTCATATTGTTTTTATTTTCGATCTATGAAAATAAGCATAAATAAAAAATGTGTGAAGGGATGATTGAACAAATATATTGAGAACAAACAAACAGCACGCACTACATTACTTTACACGTTCGAAACGAAGACATGCTCAAATATCGATTACAATAAGAACTAACAAATATTACAAGAAAAAAAAACGAATATTGATCTTATTCATCCTCCTCACAAACACTTCCTATAATCTCTTTTCATCTATTGAAAAAAAAGAAAATCTAATTTTATCATGTCAAACAATAGAATTTAAATGAAATTATGAACTTCATCTAGGATGATATTATCGCAATGTTCACCAGTATACCAAAAAAAACAAATACTTTTCTAATTAACATGATTTATTTATTCTTTTACAAAGTCAAATTTTCTTCTATCAACTTACCCTGGACATTGAAGAATGTTTGTAAATTTTAATAAACGAAATATCTACCAATTGATCAGTGTTCTCAATGAATGATTCTTTTGTTAGTCAAGCTCAACATATATGAGAACGAAAAAGAAGACTCGAAACAATAATGCGCTCAGTTCATGTCGTATTGTAGTTAACGAAAGGACATTTCGTATAGAAAGAGAAAAAAAGATATATTGATAATCGATTGAACGGAAGAGGAAAAGTTCATCTTTTTCTTTTAACCATTAATTTCGAGAAGTGAGAATAAGTAATCATTTTTTTTTCTCTTATTTTTTTTTATACGCTTGTCTATCGTTCAACGGTCATCATTTCTTTTTAGTTTTTACTATAGATGACCGAGCATATTCGATTTGATGATTAGGTTAATGATGATGTTGATTTCAATAAAACAAGACAACCAATATTCACTTACACTATGATGATTCGATTTTAAGTATAAAAAATAATCCATAAGCTTTGCAGGAATGTTTACAAGATTTTTTTAAGGAATGATTGAGAGTTTTGAAGAAGGAATCAACATAGAAAAAAAGATTATTTTTGATTTGTAAAAACTTTTCAATTTTTGTCCTCTATGTATTGAAATGTATTTCGGGAAGATCAATTAATTTCATTCCACTCGTGTGAACGTCCTTGACTATTTGTTTCTTTTGAAGAACATAGCATTGTTCATATTCTATTGAATGGAATACAACAATAGAACTATTCAATACTTGTGTACACTTCTGCGATAAGAGAAAGACAAATGCTTAATAACAATATTTTCATATCTAATATCTTCTCATTAATACATCATTCGAAAACTAAAAATAAAGTATATGTCAACTTCTAATCTAAGATCCACGTTGGAAATAGTTGAAAGTTGAATCGTTCCAAAAGCTGGAACAGAAACACAATTATGACATTGAAATCGATCTTCAATTTCCGACTTTAATGAACTATGATGTAGTGATGATACTTCTTTTATACATAGTCTATTAATAAATGAAAGTTTGATTTGAATAAGTACAAACAATATTCTGTAGAATTTCTATTTATACTGATAACTAATGAATAAAAATCCTGGAATCTAACATTGATTTCAAGGTTAAAATTATGTTTGATTTATGGTTTTTTGCTCAATCTAAGTTTGAACTAGTTCAATTTTCAATCATAGTAGTGTTTGAGTCATAGATTGTATAGTGACATATACATTTGAAGTTCAGTATATCTCATTGATTTCTTTCATTGGACATAAACATATATCGTATAGACACATTATAATTTAAATACAACTAATCGAATTTGATCTTGACAGTCGGTGATTTTTTTTATGATGATAAGATTATAAAAAAAGTGTCGTTCTTTTCAATGATATATTCACATGATAGATAGAAAACAATCTTTTTTTTTCTATCACAAAATGAATTTTACTCATTCTTTGACAAAAATTCAACCATCATTAAGTGGGCAATTTTTGATAAGCATACGCACATCGTGTTTTCAAACACTCTAATGCACTAAATAACTAATTTTTAGAGATTTCCGTATGTCTTCTTTCGTATGAAGTGGTTTTCAGAGCTCTGAGTTACTTGAAAATAGATTTTATAGAAATTCTTAGTTTTTCAGAGACTAAAATGGTCTTAAAAATCCCTATTTCGGGTTCAAAAATCATTTCTGAAAAGGTTTTGAGTACGCTGATTTCAAATCTGACAATAGAAAACTTTTTCATAATCTTCCAACAGTTTTTTTGAAAATTCAATCTCTATATTTCAGTAGATACTCACAAGAGCTCTGACTAGAAAAAAGCGCATCATCACACCGTTTACTGCCCACCACCACCACTCCTTGGCTGTTTTTTCCTTTAACTTCTAGGTCATTCTTCAAGTTTTTGCTATGTATAGGTTTGAGAAACTAAAATTGATGAAAAACAATAATCCAAAAAATAATTCAAAATTCAAAATAATTAACTATTTACAAGCATACTGTGGAAGAGACTAGCATCCCAGGATTTAAAGTCACAGCCTTATTTATATCCATACCATAATCGAATATCATCAATCTAGTTTATGGTATTTGCAGATTCGTAATTTTACATCATTATTAATATAATATGTGAAAGTTCTTAGTACACTTTGACTGCATTTTGAAATCGAAAGATTTTATTGAATGAGTTTTTATCAAACGATCTTACTTCAGATTTACATTTGAACATATTATCTTGGATAACTGGAAGATTTCGTACAACCATTTTAGAAGCTAAATTACTTTTTGGATTTTAGTGCTATCTATGCATCGGTTCTATTATTGGTCTTCTTCACCTCTTCTTCTCCTTGAACACTTTCATCAGTCTATATTGGTACGATCAATCTGTTGTGATCGTCCTTCAGCATTGTCGATTCTGAATTGAACACTGCTAAAACAAAAGCAGCGCATGAGTGAATTTACTAATCCTTATGTATTTAGAATATTGTCATGTTGATGTAATTTGGATTATTTCAAAGAAACGAAGGTGCATTAAACAGATGCGTATAAGTTTTTTGTAATTTTTCATTTATTTTGTTTTGTCGGAATGTAGTATTTTTTGTTTATATATATGCATATATTTGTTTCTCGACTGATTCGATTTTGAAGTTTTAATTGTTAAATTGACTTTCAAAATTAATAAACAAATATCTGATAAACCTAAAAGTATTATTTATTGATACTGAAAAAAAATAAGTAATTTTCATAGGTCAACACATAAAAATTAGCAAAATCGAATAAAATATTCAACGACACATCAAAGAATGACATGAAGATGTTACTCATAAGTCTAGCACATTTGTTTTTGTTACTAGGTGGCTATCATTATGAGTGATACTAGTTAACAAAAGTATTCCGTCTAGTGAATAGAAGATTAATGAATTTTTATCGGCAAGTCCAAGTTAAGTCACAAATAGTGTAAAAATTTTCCAGTCAAGTCAAAACAATTTAAAAATGGCTTGATTTGATTTTAATCTGAGTCATTTTTGGCTTGATTTGCTCATCTCTGTTGCAAACGATAATTGTCCATCATTAGTATGTGAAATTGAATGCATACATAAATAAAATATTAATAAATACCTATACTAGCTTACGAATGCAATATGTGGATAATGCAACGTATATTAAATATAAAAAGGTTTTATTTATGAATAAACAGGTTCAAGTCATATACTTAAATTAGTTTGACTGCAAATTCGATTGAAAGCTAAAAGGAAAATAATCTCTGCATTCATTTATAAAACATATTGATCATGGAATATTACTGTCCAAAAGCTCGATACACTATTATTTACTTAGAATAATTATTTCATTATTATAAAAAAAGATAATAAATATATGAATTACATAGCATCTATGTGTACCGTAACGTTCTGACAAACGACTTGGAGAACATGTATGTTCACACGCTTTTTTAGGTGAAATATTGACGAACGCTGTGATCAATGTCTCTATTAAATGTAAAAGTTTTTCGATTATGGATGAGATAGTTTACAAACCCAAAAATATGTACGAGATAGTATATATTTGTAGCTTCATATAGAAAAGAGACCAATCAAAACCGGAGACTACAGGCATTGTGCAGGAAACAAACCACTGTACTTAAGTAAATTTTTGTACTTAGTATCGGTGCTAAGTACAAATGTACTTAATCCTTTGGCGCCGGGTTGTTTTTCGAAAAAAATAAGATGTCTTTTCCTTTCAAAAAATATCTGGAACAAATTTTATTGTTATATAGAAGCATTTAGAAATGTTTCGGAGTATGATAATCTTCAAAACAATCTATCACACAAAGTCCAACGTCACACTGATAACGTGTATCAGTACGTTTTTTCTCTCATCTGCTTGTATGACTACCAACTATACAAGATCTTCGTGCAATTTTTTCTGTTGCTGTTGGTGGAACTAAAGATGGAAAATGACGTGCAGTAAAACGTATGGGATTATCTCCAATAGTCGGACGGCCAGTTGGATTTTCGGGCTGAGCATGTCTTTCAATCAGTTGTCGAATCAATTCATTTCAAAAATCGCCAAACTGAATAGTTTTTTATGCTTGACTTTGAATAGCATATATGCGTTCAATGTTGATTTATCCAGCAAGTGAAAGAAAAATTTCTTGTACCATGCACTTGACGATTTTTCGAACGCATTCTACAAAACTGATTTGCATGTTAGTTTTATCAACTGAGCCCATGTTTTCGTTGTAATGAACAATACACTCTGGTTTTTCAATTACTTTTTTGAGTCTTCCAATCAGTTTTTCGTGTTTGTACCATCCTCGGTTTGTGAATTGTAGACAACATAATGGCTTCTCGTTTACCTTGCCATTTCAAAACCATTAGATTGTTAGTGTTGTTATAATCAAAATCACCTTTTGTCAATTTACTGCGCTTAACTAGACCAAGGCGGTTTTTACGTACAGTTCCACATGCATCGGTTTTGAGTTCATGTAGTTTTTCAAATAGATGAGGGCTAGTATATCAGTTATGGAGAAAAAGTGAACGTCCCTTGTTCAAATATGATTCCATCAAAGTCATTACTACAAAACCA